TGTGTGTGTGTGTGTGTGTGTTTAATGCATTTGTAACCACTGAAAGTGTAAGGATTTTTTACAAGCCCATGCAAAGCCTATAGCAACGGAGGAGTGGTTAGTATTGCTATTACAATCTCATGAAACTCTGCAGAATTGATAGTTTGATGCCTTTTCTTGGATCAATGGGAAGTTCATTCATCATTACAAGCACACCAAAGATACACACATTTCAACAGAGCTGACAAATGGTCTGAATGATTTGGCACAGTTCATTAAGCTACAGAAGTGGTCATATTTCTGACATGTTTCAATGAAATAATGAAATGGTTTTCGTCTATCATGCCATTCTTCAATTAATGAGAGGTTTGTGCAACATATCATAACAAGATATTCATGTTTCAGGGTTCCTGTCATTAAGAGAGATGGAGAAAAATGAAAACAAAACATTTTAGATGACCTAAACGCAACTGCAGTGATCATCAGTTACATTTGACATTTTTGGCATTCAGTTGTTGCACAATCCCCACGACTGGCAGCAGCGAGTGCAACACTTTCAGAGACTATCCGTTGCTAAGGAGGAATCGAGTAACCAGGGCCTAAGTCGTAGCACCTGGACTAAACATTAGGGGGGTTTGCACACAACAGATGTGGCATGAAAATAAAAGAAAGTGCAAAAAAGAGAGGTAGAAAGGATTTTGCTGCCAACTTCAAAACAGTGTCCACTTTATCCAACATAGCAGTTTACTTTAAATGAGCAACAGAGCTACTGTAAAGCATAATGAGTTTGTTCTGTGCCTTACACTGTGGCTTTAGCATGTAAACACTGAGCTTTGCTAGTAAAAGCCATTGTAAAGATTGTCTTCTATGCATTAAAGAGGGAGAGGGGCATTACAAATCAGTGTGCTGTTGGTGAGTAGAAATGGTGCGAGCTGAATCACACCTTCACTTTATATCTTAATCATATTCTTCACACAATGAAACTAAAGATAATAACAATAATTCTGCACCACGTCCAGCCAACTCAGAGATGATAATTACAGTGCAGAGTGGATGTAGGCCTCTCCACAGCCAGTGTCCAAGGCTTTCAGCTGGGGATAAATTTACACTTGGATCCAGACGACTGAATATTAATTAAGACTGCTGTTGTGACAGTTCCAGCCACCAGAGGGCGCACAGACATCATGGCTCCACCAGCTGAATACTGAATATGAGTCTATATGTTGCTTTTAAATGCCCAGTTTTTACATGCTTGGTTATCTAATATCTGAGCCTGTAATACCTACAGTATTATAGTAAAATATTACCGATTTGTGCTAGCAGGTAATATGTGGACGTGATCACCTGTAACTTTTTTTCAGCATGTTAAAAAAATTGTTTTTATAAGTGAAGTTTGCCTTGGACAGCATTGCTGGAATCCACCTACATCCAGTCAGATATTTTCACCTACAGTGCAAAAAACTTACAGTAAGACTCATCATTTTATGTCAACGATAATCTACAGTAATATGTAAAACGACATTTACAGTATATGCACACTACGGAGTAAACATTTGTAATTATACGCAACATTGATCAGTCTGTACTTTAACTATATATTGTCTACTCTCACGTCAGCCGTACAGCACTGTGACGATGTGTGACCTTTTGATACTGATGCACCCAAACAGCGCGGCGAACATATTTACAGACCGCGTGCTTCGTATTTACATTCCATTCATTGCACGGAGTAATGACTGATAACGGAATGGAAACATGCAGGACAAAGAGGAAGCACAGACGAACACTGTCTCTGCCAATGACATTTTACAGGCTGTGTGATCTCTGACACTGTGCTTAGAGCCACCTCTGCTTTAATGGTTCCCAAATCGCGCTTACAGACAAAATGAGGAGAATGAAGCGGCATTAATGAACCTAATAAATCCCAGACCAAATTAACAACATAAACAAATGGGTTTGGTGCCCATGTCGTCACTATTCATGAGTTTTAATTGTTAGTCTGAACACAAACATGTCTGCTTTTCCTAAAAGTGACTTCACTATAAGCTTTAAGCAAAAGGTTAATTAAGTAAAGCACAGCCTAAGGTTAGTCAGACCACAGCTGAGTGACAAATTCCACATCGAGCAGTCTGTGTAGCATTGTTTTAGGCTGCAAGCTGCTTTGGAACCCACCATCACTGCTCCTCCTCTTTGCCATACTTTCTAAATTAATGCTATCTTTGTTGTTCTGCGGCTCTAGTACAAATTGCTGCACACAGAAATAAAAAAAATTTTCAATCGACTAAAGTGATCCTTTCTGAAATATTGAGCAGAGTGTGCAGTGTAATATAAATGGGAGAAATACATTGAGATTTGTGCTCTTATGTTTCATTTTATGACAAGTGCTTGTACTTGGTGACTCCAGTCCTCTCTGTTTCTCGTTAGCTTTAGGTGTAGCGTTCATAGGTGCTTTTGTGTTCAGAAGTAGCAGCATTTGCTGACTCAGCATGCTCTGCCTGAGTCTCTCTCCCTGCTTCCTGCTTCCTCTCTCGCTGTCTTCCCGATACAAACTAGGAGGTAGAAAGGCTGCACTGACATGAGGAGGATGATGACAAGTTTTCATTTCATCTCTGTCCTATGTGCTTTACGATAACCAGAAAACTACAAATAAATAACGAAATAAGTTAGCCGGCAGCCTCCGTTTATTACAGGGTCACAAATAAAACACGTTCCTGAAGCAAGTTTTGGGATAACATGCATTATTTTCACTTAAGCAAAACCTACAATCTTTCCTATTGGTTTGAAAAAAAATTCAGCTATGGCTTCAATGATGTTCTCTTAGCAGCAAGTGATGTATGTCCAACTTAAACAAATCCAAAGCAGTTCTTGAATATTTCTTCTGTTTTGTGTCATCGTTTTTCTTTTTATTGGTGCTTTATTGTACAAAACGCAAAGACGAGGAGATAAAATAATCAGAAATACTTCCTTTATAGGAGGATACTCTTCCATCACGTCCTTCTCAGAATCTCTCAGGTCTGTGTGTGTGTGTGTGTGTGTGTGTGTGTGTGTGTGTGTCTGACACATGTATTCATCTTTAAATGTATGTACAGTATGTACAGATTGTGTGTGTG